TACTAACAGTGAAAATTTAGGCTATTTTCTAGGTCATTTGTATTAGCACGTTTGGCTCAGTCTTGAGAGTTTGAATTATTGATTCCTCCCTTGTTTAAAGAGAATTATTTTCCCCTCTTTTCTCCTGTACTGCTGCCTAAATCATCATGTCTACAATATCACAGAAAAATCAGTGCTGTGGGTTAATGATAGAAAACTGCTGAGCAGAACCCAGTGGAGTCATTCTGCGTGCTCTTTCACAAAAACTGCAGAGCTCATCTCTGTTTTTTGTGGGTTTTTTTGCTTCAGGTATTATTTTTTGTCAGATTCTGTTACAACCCCAGTGCATGCTTTCACCTACTTGTACAAGGCTCATGTATATGAATACAATCAGCCCCTATAAACTCTTTTGTACTGTTCCATCGTCTACTTTTTATTTGAGATCAAATCAGGGGCTGAAGCTGGCTGAAGGGTCTTGGGATTTGATGCCAGAAGAGACATCACCTTGGCCTCGGCACACATTTTGGAGGTCTACAGTGGTATTGTGGCGTGCTGGCAGGGCAGGCATAGAGGAGCTTTGTGGAGAACTGGCTGATTTTTGACAGGTCTTTGAGCTACAGGTCAATCCATAGGGAAGGTGTTACACACTATTAAGTAAGTTAACACACTGTTAAGATTGATAATTACCTGCTTCAGAGTCCTGTCATAGAGGAGATGCATAGACTGATGCATATATCTCAACATTTATAGCTAAAAACCTCCTGCGCTGGTCAAAACAGCAGAGAAAGCGAGATATGATTTTATGAATGTTATTGGCTAAACATGGACTCGCAAGACAAATGCGGTGGTTTAACGCGGAGGCGTAAGAGGTGGATCAGCAAAAGCCTTGTCACACAGAGCCTTGCCCGAAAGCCCTGTGCATGTCCCCATCCCGCTTTCAATTGCAGATACAGGTTAAGTAAGGAACTGAGCTTTTGCAGAACCTATAGTAACCCTGAAGATTTTGAACAGAAAACTAAAAAAGCCTGTGCAGGTGGTAGTGCCAGCCCCGAGACACAGACACCGCCGCTGCCCAGCCGCTGCAAGGGGCCCTGGCATGGCTTGGGACTGCGGCGCCCGAAAACCAATGCTGGGAGAAGCGTCGGCCAGGGACGGTCCCTAATGGGCGCCTTGTACGAAATAGCCCGGGTGTGGATGGTAAGAGGTTGTAGCAGCTTGGGAACAGCATTTGGCTCCACGAGTACAAATCAGCCGCTGCATCCCATGGGTGCTACCGTGCTGCAGGCACTGCAGAGCGGCTGCTGACAGGGAGCTGTCTGGACAGGCTAAATCCCTCGAGATGAGTGCCTCTGGGAACTTTGTGCTTTTATATCTTTCTCCCTGTGAGAATCAGAAATGAATGTCACCGTGCAGCTAATCTGGTTACTGGCACGGGTGCCTGAGCCGCCGACGCTGCGCGCTCCCGAAGCCTGCTCGCTGCAGGGCTCGCCAGCGAGGGGAGCGCTGCCTGCTCGGCTCAGCTCCCAGGCACTGAAATCCTCCTCGTTCACATGACGCGGGCCTTAATCCAGGGAAATATTTGCTTCTCTCCTCCTGTTGGAGTGTGAGGACAATCCAGTGTCTTGTGCTGAATGCACCATTTCTGAAGGCCAGGGATGCTCCCCATGGCTGGCCAGAGACTTGGTGCTCCAAGGACAACTGCCCTGCTCGCTTGCGTGTCCTCCACAGCCCTGGGGTCATGCCAACCGGGTATTTCCTGAAGGCTTTAACACCGGCTTGCAGCCGGGTAATGACCCTTTGGTGCCGTCCAGCCCTGCTGCCTGCAGCACGTGCCAACCCAGGGCTGCGTGCCTGCTGGACCACCAGCGAGGATCTGAATTTGCCTGGAGCTGAGCAGGCAGCGGAGAACAGGAGGGCTGGCACTGGACTATCTCAATGCCATAGAAGCACTTTGCTATATGATGCTTTCAGCAGGCGTCAAATAACTGAAGGATGGAGGTGACACCGTGACAGCCTTCTAGAGGGGACGATGTCCAGTCAGTATCTCTGTATTCTTTACTTAGATGTGCCTTTTTACCAGCATCTGATCTTGCACGTTGTCATAACACCGCTGGGGTGGGACTTGCCTTCTCCAGCATGACATAGCTACCATTTAGAGCTATGCCTCTTTCATAGCCAGTGGGTAGGCACATTTAGGGGAATGATTTGTCCATCCTATTTGCTCATCTAAAATAGGATGAGATTAAGTCTGCTATAAATGCAGCTGTTTCACGTGGCTGCAGAGGAGGGTTCCCTCTGAAAACCATTACCAGCACTGGATGTGGAGTAGGATGGGGAAGAGGGAGAAGTCAAGCAGGTCTGTAATTTTCTCCTTTCTGCGCTCATCCATCAGCGACGTCCAGGGCAGGGTGTACTGCAGCGTGCACGCACGGCTGCAGCTGGAGACTGCACCTGTACCACCCCAGCGCCCTTGGGCTGTACCTCCGGGTGGGAGCCAGCCTTCAGCACCGTGCCTCCGCTGCCAGGCTGTCCAGTGCCTCCTCCTGGTGGGTGCAGAGCCCGTGTGGCAGACATTTTTTTTCCAGAGGAATTATTCCACTTTCCCACGTAACACTAGCTAACCCTGTGCCAGCATAGCTGCATTTATGCCAGGCACTTTGCTGACCCAGCATCTGTGCTGGGCAGTGTCTGATCCTCTTCTCTCCGAGGTGACGTATGGCTCTGGCACAGCGCCCTAGAGCTGACCAAGCCTAGTATTAAAATACAGCAAGGGCTGTATCGCCACACTGCGATCTGCCGTGAGTAGACGGTGGCAAGTAGATTCAAATCCTCGGCGACAGATCCCTCTATGAGTCAGAAGGCACTGTGCCTTTTCTGCTGCCTGCTCTGGGAGAGAAAGGAACCATTTCATGCCTTTTTGTGAAGCAGATAGTTAGTGGTTGTGACAACGGAATAAAGACCAAAGGCATCGGGTTTTAAAGAGACTATTAGCCTAGTTAAATATAGACCAGTAAAATCCACTCATCAGTGCTCACTGGTGGTTGCCTGTTGAAGTTTCCAGCTAAATCATGAGTTTTCTAAGTGTTTTGTAAGTAAAATTGGCATAATTTCCAGTGTCATCCATATTCATCAAGAGAATAGACCAGAGTCAAGATCAACTAAAGTGAAGGAAACACTTTTCATGTGACTTTTCATGACAACCTTTAGAGCAGACTTGGTTAATTGGCATCCAGGTAAAAGAAAATCTTGTTAGCCTTTCAAGAAAAGACAAGACAGTGCTACTTCTGTTTGAGATGTGAACATTGTTTTTTATTTCACATTCATGTAGACTTTTGTGCTTTCTGTTCTTTCTTCTCTTTTTGGAAATAAGAAGAATGTTAAAATGACAAAGCAAAAGGAACTAGTGGTAGAAAGGTTAAAGAAAAACATACGGAAAAATCTCTGGAAGAAATGAGGAGGGCAAATCTTCTTCTGCAAGACCTTGCTGCTCTCTGAAGGCAGGTGGTTCCTAACACCGTGAAAAGATTCCACTGGATGACATGTCCAAGGATGGAGCTTACACAAGTGCTAGAAGCTACAGAAATTTATACTGCTGCCAAGGAAATATCCTTAGCCCATATTGAACTGCCATACCCTGAAAGATAGACATTTCCATGATGTATTTAAATAAAAAAAATCTCCAAACAATAGCATTTGGAGCTATTTCAAGATCTGTATGGGAATGTATTTGGGCATGTCATTTTAATTTTAATTCCAATAGGAAGTGTAGATGAATGCAATGCTGAGGCAGATCAAGAAGACCTGGTCTTCAGCCAGATATCTAATATTTAAAGGCATATTTTTGATCATCTTCTGTAGCTAGAGGCTCTGAAGTCTGGAAACAAAGTTGTCTCAAAGAAAAATAAGTTGTTCTTTGAAGGGTGGAAATAATGAACCTTTCTCCCATGGTTTTACATTCTATGCCCCTTTCTTCCCCTCCTCGCTCATGAGATGATCTCAGCTGCCCTCTGGTACTTTTCTCTCCTGCAATGCCGTGTCTCAGGCCTCCCCCCAGCCTACACTCGTCCCGTGCTGCCCACCCTGGGTCAGGCAGGAGCAAGGTGAGCTGTACCTGGCTTGGAGGTGTCTGCTGGCTGGGTGTCATGGCAGGCCAAACAGAACAGGTAACACCAGTGACCATGCTGCAGCCACCTTTGTTGCAAATTCCATATGTAAATATCTACGTTCTACTCACACTATGATTTTCTTCAGTATGATAGCTGCTGAATTTGTCTGCCATCGCCCAACAGGTGCAAAATCATTAGCAGAGAACTGGCAGACAGAGACTCAAACCCTTATTTCTCTTAGAGACCAAGATAAAAATACAAAACGTACCTAATCAAAGTAGCGATAACGTCCTCCTCCCCCGGTCTGAGCCCTGCTCTGACTGACTTACTCTTTTAGGTGCTGGGCCTGAGCAACACTCTCCCATTGACTCTTCTCATTTGGTATCTCTGAAGTTAAATGAAAGCAAGTTTGCAATATGACCACCAGCTTCGCAAACTTATGTGCCACATTTGTGCATTTCAGGGCCTGAACATGACCCCTCAAAGGCAGGCAGCATCTCATTCTGTTATGCTTGATGTCACGTCTTGAAACCGTGATCACACAAAGCATTTAATCAGTACGAAGTTTTGCCATTTCAGCCATCTGTCTTTGTAATGTATCTACTGGAGTCGAAAACATTACCTGAAACAAATACTCTGCTCGGTTAATTCTTGTTTCCAAAAAATGCTGAAAAGCTCTCAAGAGGCTCTCTGTCACTGACGTTAGGGACATCTTCCTATCTATATGACCTATCATCAAAGCAAAACAGCCACCCTTATCCCACAAAAGCTCTTTAACTCCAGCAAAACTCACAAGAAGGCAGGACAGGGACACACAGGGCCTCGTGCCATCCACACCTTTACTGTCAGAGATGACCACATCACTGTCATGAAATTAGAAAGCTCCAATTCAAAAGACAGTTGTTATATTTTGAGTAACATTAATACATTTATTTAATTGTAATTTACTTTTCATTCATAAAAAGGACAAAGCACAGTCCTGCTCTACTCATTTGAAAAAAAAAAGATAAAAAGTAACTAAAAAAACAGTTCAATATTCATCAGTATCAAATAATAGTAATATCAATTTTCCTGAAATATAAAGAAACAACAAATATGTCTCTATATAAACTTTAATTAAGAACCTTGCGTTTTAAAGCAGATGATACATTTAGTTAGTTTTACTTGACAACAATTTGAAACTGAAGGTCCCAGTCAAATTTACACAATTATGTGAAACAGAAAAATCTCCAACTATTTGATCAGTATGTGAGACCTACCTCATCTGTGTTGCTGATTTAAAAAACAGAAGTGTCTTTCTTTCCCAGGTCACTTCCATGCAAAAACTAAACAGTTTTGCTTTTTACACCATGTATTAGAAAAGTAAAAGGCAATCATGCATTTGGCAAAAGATTTAGTTGTGGTTGTAGATTATATAAAAATGAGTCATACTGCAAAACAACCAAACAAAATGAAACACAATAAACCACAATTTTTTTGTACAGAAGGCTTACAGCATATTAGTTTCTTATGTATGAAGACAGCTCATTTCTCTTTCAAATAATTATACAATTTATGAAACTCAGTAGTGTTTGACACTTTGACATTCCTCTATAGGGAAGTTATCACTTTCACCTATTTAAAAAATTTTCATCTTGTAACAAATAGTTAAAATTAAACTAAAACAGTATTATTGATATTTCTTAATGAAGACTCTACACTTTTACATGTAAATATACAGTACAAAATTATACAAATAAAAGAGGGGGGTGTAAATTATTAATAGAACTATTCTTGCTTCATGTAAATATTATTATTACGGACCTCTACAGTATCAGTTCTAAAAAGATAAAATCTATTTCTAAGTAGCTAGCAAGGTTGTGCTAATAAAATATGATTCAAAGCTTGTAATTCTTGAAGCATCAGACATTGCACTATTACTTGAGCCAGCTGATTCAATATCACTGTGTTTCTTCAACATTCACACTCAAACTAATTCCCAGCACACCATGGAAAATGAAAGGAATGTGCATTTCTTTAACAACTTAAAAAAACCCAAACAAACCAACAAAAACCCCAACACTGAAACACTCTAGACACAGTCAGAACAAAAACATTCTCTATCTCTAATAGAGTTCCCATTTTGCAAAGGCCGTAGTAAACATTTAGCTTTGACTAACAGTTGGGATCTGACTTTCATGTACTAAGACACAGTTGGATCATTCAGTACTCTATCAAATAGGGAAACAGTCTCAGAACTTTAAAACTCTTATTTACAACACTATGAACATTAGAATAATATGAAGTTCTTGAAAAAGCATATAATTGTCCCAAATGTACGCCTTCATTACAGGAAGGTAACACCTGGCATCTGCAGCATAAAAATGTAAATATAATAATTTTTTTTACTGTGCTACTCTGTTTTTGCCATTTATTGTATATCTTTTTCTTTTTTTTTATATTTTAAATCTTTTAACTTTAAAAAATAGCATACATTTTCCTACCATTTCATGGTCCACTTGGCTGATCTTAATATGGACTCCGTCTCCAAACTCCTAAGTGTTATATGGCTACCTTAATAATAATAATAGCAAGAATACAAAATCAAAACCAGTACGTTACGCTGCTTCCCTGAAAGCTGACATTTGACTCCCAAAATCAGCAACAACGACCATAAGACAATTTCTCAACAAAATTGTTTTAAGAGAAGGAATATGGTAAATCTTGTGTCAGTGAAGCACAGGTAAATTCCTTTAAGCTGAGCATGCTATGCATGTCTCGGGTGTCCTGAACATATTTAAAATAAAAAATTCCTTGACACTGACTTTTATTTCAAGTCCTTCGAATTTTACCCAATAGCTGCAAGAAATACAGCTTGGAAAAAATGAAATGTTTTTGCTTTGACTGTCTCTCTAAAAACCTGTAATCCCAATAAATGATGATGGGGCCAGTCAAAAATATGCAGTACACAAAACATATAGGATAGTACAGACAGACGTAGTACTCTTACATTTATCACATACAATCAACATTTCGATCTCTATTATATTTCACAATTTGTTATTCAAGTTAAAGCACCTACGTATGGTGATTTTACTTTCACTGTACAGCCTATGTTATTGGGTTTTAACACTGTAACTTGCCCCGTTGGACCGAATCATGCAACTGTCACAGATCAGCATAAGTGTTTTATAAGGCATATTGGAACAAGTTAAAAATATTTCTTAGCCTTTCAAAAGTTGATTTACTTCATGAAGGAGTTCCTGGATGCCTCAGTCCTCTTAAAGTTCATAGGAAATCAGTAGGGTCATTTATCTTAAAGTAATTTATTTGGCTTAGGATGGTGCCACAGGAATCAAAAAGTCGTGGTCCTCATCTTCAAAGGGAGTCCTTTGTGTTAGGCGGAGGACAAGGTAAACCCAGCTACATTCAGAATCCCGCGCAGGCGAGGACGCCCAGGGTGGGCACCACCAGGACCAGCAGCAGAGTCGGTACTCCAGCAGTGGCACCTGCGCATCGAACAGATAACAGCACGGTGTTGGTCTGACTTCAGTGTTACTCCTGGTGGGGGGAACAACCCTGCATGCGAGCAAGAACGCGGGGTACGAAGGCTGGTAAGAGAAGCAGCTGGCGTATCTCAGCACAGCCCCTACCTGTGCGGGTAACCTGAAATGGACAACGAGACTCGCTCGGCTGTGAATTTAAGTGCTATTAGTAGGGCGGAGGACTCGCTCTTTGGTTCTGCAAGAGCTGTTTAGGCAGCGTGTTTATACAAGCAGCAAGACCATTCAGAGCACATCAGTGTATTTTGATTTGGCTGGTCCAACAAGCCAGAAGGTTATACCAGGAGGTAAAAGGTCAAAATAAATATTTAAACAAGTGAAAACAAAATTAATGGAGTCTTCGAAATGTGACGAAGCAAAGAGACACCTTTGGAAACGTTAACGTTCATAGGATCAGCAATAACCTGAGAGATGTCAGAGAGCCTGGTCTCTCTGTTTACCTGCCAGATTACAAAGTCCAGATGGCTGACTTCTAGCAGTGTGGCGTTTACACATTGATGTCTATAAAGTCACAAGGGTCTTTCTTAAACAAATCTTTTAAGACAAAAAATATTAATTGACAGCTTGCAAACTTCACCTGACTTGCTCTGGCAAACAGGCACAAGAACTGCTACATTACGTCAAACAGCTTGTGTCGCCATGCTCCAGCTCCCCGTCAAAAAGCATCAGTATGAGAAAATAACCCAGCCCAACCGTGCCTGGCTGTCAGTCTTGGAGATGGGCCAAAGGAGATGGACAACAGGCTATTCTTTCACCCCAGCGAGGGCTCATCTAGGCCAGGATGGTAGCGTGTATGTGGGTGTGCAGGTGGGCAGTGGGGGACCCAGCTTACTGCTCGTCTTGCTGTTGAACACAGACTAAGGACAGAAGGAGAGCTGGAGGTGACAGTCCTGGGGAGCTGCTGGAACCGTCCCATTTGGACAGCTCTGCAGGAGATGTTCTTCTGAACGAGATAAAACCGTACTGAAAAGGTAACATGCTATTCTGTTCAATATCTTTACCAATGATCTAGATGTACGGTTTGGACTCGATGGTCTTAAAGGTCTTTTCCAACCAAAATGATTCTATGATTCTATGAACCAAACAGCACAGATTTCAGCAGGCAGCCCTGTTTTTCCTAACAACAGGCACAGTATGACAAATTTCAAGTATTCTTTCATAGAAGTTAAAAGTCCCAAAAGCGCATTCACATTTTTTCATCAGATCTCTCACAAGGACAAGTAAATCACATCATCTGGTCCAGCACCATGCAGGCTCCTAGAAAGACAGATCTGTAGGTTTTACACGTCTGCCTCAGAAGTTTCCGCATCTTTCAGGATAAATAAAGAGCTTAATTCTTCATTTTGCATCCATCTCAAACCTCTTATTGATTAGGTGCTTTATTAATTTAAAGTTAGCAAACCAAGATCCTGAGTGTGAAAAAAAAGCTGGTTTGAAGTAAGAATTTGGCCAAGTAAACACCTGTAAGTTACCTTCAAGCATTTATTTCTTACAGTATTTCCTACCTAGCATAACAAGGAGAAAGTAAGGAAACTATATGGAAATGAAACTGATTGATAAAACATTTTTTATAAAGTTTGTGGACCAAACCCAAATCAGAAAACTCCAGAGTTCATCAGCTTATCAATTTGCTGTCAATATATGGAAGTGATAGTATTTAGTCATTTGTGGTTCCTACATACATAATTGCAGGGATTTTTTTAATGGGGTTTTCACAACATGTCTTAATACACTGTGGATTTGATGTCCTTCAGATCAGCATCTCCTCTGATGTACCATACATGTACTATTTGCAATTCCGAGATGAAAGTGCTGTCCCCTAAACAAGTCTTAACTAAGGATACTATATACAGTGAATTTTTGTCCTGAGCAGAGCGTCTCCTCTTTGCAGAGACATTTCTTTGAGCATTCATCTGCCGCTCCTCATGTTCATAGCACTATCTATCTCCTCTCCTCATTCAGCTTTAAACAGTCCCACTCCAAACGACGGCAGTTTTCAGGCAGTTGTTTGGAAAGCCAGTTGGGAGCGTATCTCAGACTAGAGTGCTTAGTCTTCTTTCCTCACAACTGGCTTATTACAGTACTTCCCAACTAGTTCCTGAGCATTGGTATGGTGGGAAGAATCAAATTCCACCACATATATATAATACATGTGTATCACTGGAGACAGCTGGGTCTGCAAAGACCTTTCATCCAAGATCTCTCTCTCTAGACAAGGTGTCAGAGGAGTGTGTGCCCTCCTTGTCCCAGGAACAGAAGTATGCTCATGAGGTGACCACATACCACATGACAGGGTGTGCCTACAGCAGTTCATATGCACGTACGTACAGCTTGTCACCTAGCAAATCATTTAACAAAAAGGAGACCTAAGCCACTAGCAAACAGAAGGCCTGACTTGTTTACAGGAGGCCTTCAGTAGTGAATTTAAGTGCTATTACAAAGGCAGATCTGAAAGGCAGTGTCTCCTGGAGCTCTACGCAGAACTCATCAGGGATATATTCACAAGACAGACTCCAAGATGGAGCCAATTATTTCCCCTCTTGTTTCTACCATGGAAGGTGGAAACACGTATTCTTACAAGATCCCGGTTTTCCCATTGTCCCACCAGGGAGAAAGTCCACAGCATCTGCCATGAAGCCAAAATTTTAGGGGTTTCCCTGCAGAATTTATTTTCAACTTCAGCCATGTTCCTATTATTCTCCCCCTTCTTTTTGGGTCCACCACCCTACTCCTCCTGACTCTGGTACTCATTCAAATCAAGTCTTTCCGCTGCTCCACTCTCTTCCTTGTCCCCCATACTAAACTCCACCCTCAGCTTTCTCTTGTTTCTGACACCCCAAAACTCTCCTCTGCTCCCACTACCACCCTTTCCCCTACGACTGTAGGGATGTTCCTGAAGTCAAGATTTCTTCTTAAGTCGTTTCTTATATCCAAGCACTTGGAAAACCAAGACAAGAGACCTACCAATCCTTCTTCATCAGCTCAATTCAGCTGTAAAAGGTACGTTTCTATGAATAGTATATTTTTCCATAGGAAGCAGTATATCCAACTCAGTGAAAGATAAAATTAGGGAAAATACTGGAAGATTGCTTTGTAAGTATCCATAAACAGAAGAATTTTATGCTTAAGATGAACTTGAATGTATGTTCAAATATATTCTCATACATAACAACTGCACATTTTGGCAATTGTGAAAGTAGGGGGATGTCCTGGTTTCAGCCAGGATAGAGTTAATTTTCTTCACAGAAGCTAGCGTGAGGCTGTGTTTTGGATTTGGGATGAGAAAATGTTGATAACGTGCTGATGTTTTGAGTTGTTGCTAAGTAGTCAAGGACAGTCCAGCTTCTCGTGCTGGCCTGATAGTAAGGAGGCTGGGGATGCACGGGAAGCTGGGAGGGGACACAGCCAGGACAGCTGACCCAGGCTGGCCAAAGGGATATTCCATACCACATAACGTCATGCTCAGTATATAAAGCTGGGACAAAAAAGAAGTTGGAGTTATGGCGTCTGTCTTCCCAAGAAACCATTATGCGTGATGGAGCCCTGCTTCCCTGGAGATGGCTGAACACCTGCCTGCCCATGGGGAGTGGTGAATGAATTCTTTGTCTTGCTTTGCTTGCGTGCGCGGCTTTTGCTTTACTTATTAAACTGTCATAATAAATTGGAGTAAACCATGAGTTTCCTCACTTTTACTTTTCCGATTCTCTCCCCAGTCTCACCGTGGGGAAGTGAGCGAGCAGCTGCGTGGGGCTTAGTTGCCAGCTGGGGCTGAACCACGACAGGGGAGTATGTTTTTTGTACTTTTTAGTGATTTAGGAGACATGTTAATCTTTTCCATAGCCTTTATCCCTAAATACCAAAGTAGTGTGTCTTAATGAATGAATAGTAGCCATAGGGAAAAAAAAAATCCAGAATTCGTATTTAAGAATAGCCACATAAAATGTATACTGCCTTTTTCAGATCAGGATAATGGAGTTGGAAAGATGCAATTAAAGTAATCTTTTGAATGCTTCTCATGAAGGAAAACATGAAGAAAAGTTTACTGTGTAAAGCTGAATGATGACCAAGTATGAGGAAATTTCTATTTGCATGTAACTATTCTACAAAGATTATATTCAAAAGTAATGAAGTCAATTTAATGCCTAAAATGAAACAGGTATTAAAACAATTCAGACTTTGATAAATTTCCCAAGCCTTTGTAACAATTTGTTAGTAAAAGTATGTCATTATTTTCTGTAAATGTTACTTATCTTTAATATATGACATTTTTGGCCCTTTTCACAACATCAGTACCTTTTTATACTGGATTGTAACAAAAATCTAGAGACCTTTTTACAAATCTTACTTTCATCAGATCTGTGAACCAGGAAATTAGTTACTGGTCATCTATGAAGCTGTCATAAGTGAATAACTTCTCTTTCTCAATGGGAAAGTGTTTGCCTTGCCAACATACAAAAACTACAAGCTATTCCTTGGCTAATCATGAGCTGATCCTGTTGTGGCAAAACTCTTTCTCTGCTTTTGTTGTCAGGAAAGATTATTCGAGAATTAATTTGTATTAAAGGACATCAGTTTTCTTAGTTTCCAGGTACTGAACATTGAGGGGGATGTCTACATGACTGTTCTAGTTTGAGAAGGAGCATGTTTTTGAAGGGAGTATCTCAGCTGTCCCATTTATTGGGGTTTATTTCACATTGTGGAGCTGCCTTGGATACCCTGTGCAGGACTGGATTAGAGGTGGTGCAAAGTAAAACCTGATGTGAGCATAAAATGTGGAGCGGGATCCTCAATGCCGCTGTTTCTCTCTACAAATCCACTCCTCTCGTGCTGCACAAATTGCTCAGGTAGATGCAGACTGGCTATCTGAATGATACAGTCGCTGCAACACATTTTTCATGACACAAGTTATCATATGTTCAGTAAAAGTAAGAAAAAGAGAATTTTTT